TCGCGAAAAACCTTAGGGGGGTGCATCAACCCCCCTCGTCGGGCGAGGGTTAACAAACAGTGTAAACATTCTGGACAGACGTACCTTAAATTGTTCGGTGTCAGTAGGGATTGTGACGTTGACCTCTTTCCAGAAATCAACGGTCGGTCCGGACTCCTGTGTGAGGGAATAGAGAATATCTGGCTCTTCCATCGTACCAATTACTTTCTTCACTTCCAGCGTTCCTGATGCGGGGTATTGCGAACGGAGCCAGTAGCGAAAATAGATGCTTGAGCCGGCCGGAAAGTTGTATGCGTCTTTCATTACCAGTCGGGCGCTGCCATAGGTGCTTCCAGATTTAGGAGTTAGATAAACGATAGTGTCCCCGCTCGCAGGCTCGGGAAAGTCGGGAATGCTCTCCTTCAGCTCCTGGTAACTCGAAGGCTCCCAGGTTGCACCCAAGTCCAGTGGGCTCTGTCTCCAGAAGTCACCCAGATCACCGCCCTCAAAGTCCTCGCAGTATTCTCCACCGTGAACAGTTGTCACCACAAACGCCAGCACCAGCAGCAGCAGCAGCAGCAACCAGACCGAGCCGAGGAACGACCGACACGACGGCCGGTCCCAGTTAGTCGCCATGACCTGAGGTGTGAGCGGGACACACAGTGGACTCGAGTGTCGTCCTGTACAGCTGCAACTTCAAGGTGAGACGAATACTCGGTTCGGGAATGCCGTGCCAAGTTCGTCGGCGGGGTAGGACTGGGTCTGGTCGGCGCTAGGAGCTTCTGTACGAGAGGAGCAGAACGGAGGTTTTCGTTCCGAGCTCTGTCTTCAACGGCCCGCCAAACACTACTGGCCCTGCTGTTGGTTCCGCGGTGGTTGGTCTCACGTCTCCTATTCGCGATAACAGAGATTTATGCACGATATCTGGGAAAGCTACGCACGGAACAACTGATATCATGTTCGCAGAGCAGCCATCCATGACTGGCCACGTCAGAAATTATCTGTTAATTCCACAGGAGCGACCGATACAAGTTTATTGCAGGAAACTATGCGTTACTGCTCTCGTATCCACTCGACACTACTGTTCCGTTCTTTTAGCACTTGACACGAACTGTCAAGTTGACAATTCGTCAACTTTCGGTATCTCAATCTTATCATGAGACGCCGCATGAGTGCTTTTTTCGAGAACATTTACAAATGTTCGCCTGAGCGTGCCGGCAGTGTTCTTTTTTCAAATCCCTACAACGACTCCTAAATCCCTGCGCTTTCCTTTAACTACTTCCTTGGAGGACCCGACACCGGTCTAAGAGCCTACATATACCGGGTGGCCCAGAAAAAAACGTTCCCAACTTTGAATAAATATTTCTCAGAAAGTTATAAAGATGCAACACTGAAACTTCCAATATTCAATGCGGCATATATTTTCAGTAAATAGCATGATTTTCATGTTATTCGGTCAATTACTTTTTAAACGGTTCGTGTTTCTAGCATGCCATGTAAAAATTACTTTTTTGCTCAGATGTTTACTAAAAAAATGTGAGTGAACGGGTCACTTCATCTTGGCACCATGGCCTGCAGCCATGACTGCTACTGGCAACTAGTCTCATTGGTTCAGGCCCCAGGGTGACACATTCCCTTTAGCTTTTTTTCTTATTCGGTCGATTTACTGTTTGATGATCTTCTTGAAGGGAGGGCGATCAGCAGTAACCCATGCACCGTGCCAGTCCTGCTCGAAACAGGACTTAGCGTTGAAACGAATGGCATCCATTAACACCATTTTGGCTCATTATTTGAATATTTGGCACATAAGTAGGATAAAATATTTAAAATAACAACACACGTGCTGGTTTCATTCACGTGCTCTATTTTTCCTTTTTTCTAACATGGTACGGCTAAGCCAATCATCGCTACCATTCAACATCGGCAAAAAAAGCAAAAACGTCTTACTTAATTCAACATAAGATTGCTGGACTGAAAATGATGGTACAGTGTTATAATTTGGCATGCCAATGAGCAAAGAAGTGACGCAAACTTGATGAAAATTGTGACTCGTTATTTGCACTGGAATTTGAGATATAGGCCTCCAAAGTTCGGAACGTTTTTTTGGGCCACCCGGTACCTATATATCTGAGCGCCTATGAAGGTCCCTGAATTCCCAAGCCCATGCCATGGTCACTGAGAGCCTAATGCGCTGTCTGATGGCTAACACCGCCCTTGGAGCGCGCAACAGCAGCCTCCATTCCTCAAGAACGTTGATTTGAGAGGCCATCATGTCAATGTCACCGCTTCTCGGTGTTCGATTCCTTGTGCAAATTGGACCTTGGTTTTTCGGTTTGAAGCAAAATTTTCCCGATACATTGTTAAGTTTTCTTTGAACTCTAGAAAAAACGGAAATTTATTATCGATTTCTGGCGCTGCGGGAGGGGGGGGGGGTGAACTCGCCCAAAATGCCCACCCTGGAACCACGAGCGAGGTTTTGTGTTTTTGGTTGGACCCCCCAATCCCAAAACCGTGGCGGAGCCCCTGGGCCTGAACAACAGTGCACAGTGCACACCTCAACTGACTGCCACCGGTGGTGGCTGACTCAGCAGAGACTGAGACAAAGACAGACAGAGACAGATACATGCATAGAAAGAGAGACAGAGACGGACAGAGACAAATAAAGTCATACAGAGACTGACAGAGACAGACAAAGGCAGACAGACAGACAGCTGTGCCGTGTGCGGCGGACGTGGCGCCACCTATGCCGTACCACCCGCGACTCTTACCTCCTCCACCCCCGGTCGCAGGGCTCGCCCGGAGCGCCGTGATACCTGGCGACCTCTGTAGGACGAGCTACATCATACATGCCAGCTCCGTGAGCACTAGCCCCACTCAACACCGCCTGTGTTAGTCATCATTGCTCCGACGAGCTCGTGTCAGTTGTCAAAACACACCCTGTCAAGCTCACAGAAGCTCACTATGACGAGCGTTATCGATTACTCACTTCAGCCCTGTTTTGGGTTGGCGACCAGCCCCGCTGCTACTGGAGAGGATCGACCACTACGGATCGCATACACATCTGGCCATCTGGGCAGAGGTAACCTTTCACCGCTCCGTCCTTTCAATCCTCATGATAGTCAAATATCTTCCTTCCACACCTCACTACTCTGATCCGGGCTGGATGTGCAACTTATCCCATGCGGGAAGCTCTTATAGGAGCACACCCGTAGCCGAGTGCACGGTGAGTGCTTGGGGGGGGGGGAGGTTGGGTGGCCTGTCCACTGGATGGGCTCAGCTCCGGCGACTCACCAGGGTGCCCGCCCAGGCCAATGTCTCCCCCTAATTCCTATCATCCTTTCGGCTCTGAAATGGTCTCGTCAGAACGAAAGGGCCCCGCACAACCCAACAAAATAAAACACAAATAAAAAAATTAAAAAAAAGCAAGCTGTAGCCATTGAGTGGCTGGGTGACTGCTCCCACTGGATGAGCTCAGTCGCGGTGGCGCTCCAAGCAGTCAGTGTTCGCATTAATCCAATGTCTCATCCCTATCGTTGACTTACTATATGGTAACAACAGACCGAATCAGCTGAAACTAAACAACAATAGCATATTGGTAATAGCTTTCTACCGTGAAGTGGAAGTTGTGTATCATTTAGTCATAAATAACAAAATCACTCGCGATACAAAGCATTGGATTTCGGAAGAAAATTGTGTTCATGTTAAACGTTTGTATAATTCATACTTTTCCCGTGTGATTTATCCCATAACCTCTCAAATGCCTTGTTTGATAAACTCTTCTGCTTCTTTACCTACATACATGTAGGGGAGAGTGGGGAAAGATGCCCAGGGTTTTACTATGTCAAATATTATTCGAAAATGACGATTGGAAAGCAAAAACTTGGAGTTTCAACGGAAGCCGACATCATTTTTCTCCAAAAATATCACACTTTCGTGCCTGAAATATTACAACTTTTTTTGCTATTAAGCATTTTCCTGAAGAAGTGAAAGGGGGCATCTTACCCCACAGGGTGGGAAAGACGCCCCCTGACGTTGGGAAAGATGCCCCCTGCACTATAAGTGACATAAATGGGCACGTGAATCGCCTGAACGAATCAGTAGTCCCTTCGAGCCTGCAGTAGACACCAAACGTCATCATAAGGGCCCTCAAAAGTAGTCGTAAGGGGCTTCAGAGGTCATCGTTAGGGCCATCATAGTCCAGCGCGGCCAAACAAGCCTCCGTGGTGGCGTTCGGAGACCACTGTGGGGCTCTTATAGGTCTTCATGATGCTTGAGGGCCCTCTATCCCATCGTGGGGACCTCCGATGCCAGCGCGGCCCGTAGGGCCAACGTGGGAGCCCTCAAAGGATGTCGTGAGGGGTCCTGGAGCCAATAATGGGGGCCACAGAGGCCGTCGTGAGGGCTCTCAGAGTCAGATGCCGCCCAAAAAGTCGCTATGTGCGCCGAGAGACCGGCATGGGGAGAACCCGACCGTACTGGACTCTCAATAGTTCCAGATTGGCTTTTGTCTACATCACAAGTATGTAATATATGATTTGACGGGCTGTTTGAAGGACAGCCTACGGATTTAGGGGGCGTCTTTCCCCATCAGGACAGGGGGCATCTTACCCCAAGGTACCGAAGTAACATTAGATTAGTACAATTTTTTAGCCATAAAACTATACCCTGAAACAAACTGTTTGGGACACACTACACGCATGCTTATGTATCACGACTATAGCAAGGAACGCAAAAAAATATTTACCTTCTTTGATATTTACAATGTTTTGACACCAAAATATTTTTTGAAAGCAGCAAATAAAAAACATGCAATCATCAGCCAGCCGTTGCCCAACTGAGCTTCGCAAATTTTTGTGCAGTTAACAAGGCAGGCTTCCGCTTTACGCTAAGAACATTAATTTCCAGGTCCGATTCTTTGTTTCCCCGCTAGAGGGGGTGGGGCGTCTTTCCCACCCTGGGCATCTTACCCCACTCTCCCCTACCTAAAATATGTAGAGAGCCAGCATAAGAGGCATTGCCGTTCGTTGTATTTGCATGAGCACATGTTTGACATCCGGTATGTATCGTAGGTATATGCTATTATTGCGACCTTACTTTCTTTCGATGAATCTGCCCAGTTCTTACAAGCGGCATTGCATTATGAATCTCGTTCGGGTTAGGCTCACTAAGCAAACTATATCAATCACAACGAATGCATAACATATATGATATATTTACTACTGCAGGTCAGCAGAAGCCGGTCGATGCAGGTCACCTATTGACACTGGCTTTGACAAGACATCTTCTGTCCCCCAGCTGGTGAGGTATGAATAGCAAGACAACTATCTTGTGAGTCCATATTACATATCGTGACGAGTACAACAGAAGTTCCACACTTTCCAACGTAGATATAAGTTGCTGTTGCACAATGCTCACTACACAAGATAATTCTGTCGTGTACGATAATTGTGTGCGTATATCGGATAGATTTAATTGATAGACATTACATACCCGTATGACCTACCACTGACTATCGGTTCACGTCCCCGGTCACTGCCACAGACGTCTGAGGTTACTGCCACAGACGTCTGAGGTCACTGCCACAGACGTCTGAGGTCACTGCCACAGACGTCTGAGGTCACTGCCACAGACGTCGGAGGTCACTGCCACAGACGTCTGAGGTCACTGCCACAGACGTCTGAGGCGCCCCCGGTCACTGCCACAGACGTCTGAAGTCACTGCCACAGACGTCTGAGGCGCCCCCGGTCACTGCCACAGACGTCTGAGGTCACTGCCACAGACGTCTGAGGCGTCCCCGGTCACTGCCACAGACGTCTGAGGCTACTGCCACAGACGTCTGAGGCTACTGCCACAGACGTCTGAGGCGCCCCTGGAGCCTGGTCCAGTAGTCGTCAGTGACGTACTGGTACCAGCCGCTGCTGCCGCTGCCGCTGCTGGTGCTGCTGCTGTCCGGCACCAGCAGGTCGTCCCGCCGCTGCCGCCGCCGCACCAGAGCCAGTACCAGCGCCAGCACCGTGGAGGCGCCCAGCACCACAAACACCACCCAGAGGAGCGCGCTGGAGCCGTACTGGCGGTCGTCACCGCGACCCGGCCCGGCCGTGCTGGTCGGAGGGGGCTGTGTTGTCTCGCTGGTGGTTGAAATGGACGTTGTCGCCTCAGTGGTTGTAGTGGGCGGCTCGGTTGTAGTTGTTGGTGGTTTAGTTGTAGTTGAAGGTGTCTCAGTTGTAGTTGTTGGCGGTTCAGTTGTAGTACTTGCCTCTGTGGTTGACGTGGTGGTCTCGGTCGTCGCAGTTGTTGGCTCGGCTGTAGTTGTTGTTGGCTCTGTGGTCGTCGTCTCCGCAGTGGTTGTCGTGACCGGCTCACACTCCCGGTCTGGTAGGTCGTCCGGCCCGCTGATGACTATATCATCGATGGCGATATTGTCCACAGTGATATTGCTTACAGTATGAGAGGCAAATATCATAATCTGAAAGAAAACAAAGTCAAAATCAACCGATATTTTTTTCTTTGCGAGCCAAGCATGAATGTTTTACATCATACGCGACATGACATGCCGAAACATATGCAATGGTTAAACAGCGCCAGGAAACCGTAACACATCAAAGCGGGGGCATTTTCACTCCCCCCTATAACTTGGCCTCCAGGCCACGCAGCGACACTCAGTAATGTTCGAAAGTAATGTTCAGTAACCTTCGGTGTTCGGAAGAGCATCGAAAAGCATGACGAGAGTAATATAGGTTATTTTTTAGTCATATGGTCAAAATCAGATCCAATTCAGAGTTTCTGACCCGCGACCCGCGCCACACTGGGGGGGGGGGGGGGGCAGAATCTGCCCCCTCCCATTTTTCGCCAATAACTTCTAAACGCGATACACCAGCAGCGTCGAACTTTCAGTACCTTATCCCTCGCCGGCACAGAGGGGGGGGGGGGTTGATGCAACCCCCCTAAGGTTTTTCGCCAATAACTCGCGTAAAAAGCGGCCGATCGCGACGAAACTTTCAGTACCCTCGCATTGATCAATCTTACACCTACCCTTTAAATTTCATGACCCTGACCCAAATGACCTTTGACCTGTGACCTCTTTTCCGAGACCATGTTTGGCCGGAATCGCGATTCGGCGTATGTCGGCTCGCATTAGCCGCGTGTTTGCAAGCTTTTCGTGGTTTCAAACGTTCAAACATGTGATTTGATGTTGCTCCCATGCATAAGGGTGGGTGTCTAGGTCATCTCTGAAGGTCAGGTCAGGTCATTGACCTTTGGTGACCTCGGTTCACTTTTTCGAGTTTTACGTGTTTCTAGGCTAATTTTTTGGAGCTGAATTCGAATTAAGCAACCATTTGAACATTTACGAAGTAGTTTTGGTGCCTTCGTAACATGTTACGAAGCTGTCAGAGGCGGATGACAGGAACTACGAATACCCGTCACGACCCCTACCGGTTGACCTGACCTGACCTGACCCGACTTGGTCTAAACGCTTAACGACATCATCTGTTATCAAAACTAACACGATATTCGTGATCACTGATCAGCACCCCAGAAAACCCTTTAGAAGCCACACTTTACGACTTTCTAACCGGTCCCGGTATTTCCGATTTTCGGGTCATTGACCTGACCTGAAAGGCCAACCGATGACCTAGGACCTTAACCCGCGCCGGGCCGGTGCTCCGAGACTTCCGCGCCGGGCCGGGGGGTCTGAACACCCCCCTCTAACTCGGCTCCTGGGCCACGTAGCGACACGCGGTAAGCGGCAATCGAAAGAACGTCCAAAATAAGGATGATAACACTTCTGTCATTTTTTGGGTCAGGTCAAAGGTCATGTCACCAGAGGTCACCAAAGGTAAAATGCTGACTATTTCAACATTTTGGAAACTGTCGACGGCTATCTCGGGAACCAATAGAGCTACAGCGTCGCGCAAAAGCGCATTCGATACCCCCTTTTACAGACCTTTCTGAATAATGCTCTCAGATTTGACCTCAGGTCAACGGTTTAGCCTCCAGAGGGCAAAAACTCCCAAAATAGCCGTTTTTATGAAAAGTGTTTTTTGGCAATAACTTTTGACTCAAAAGAGCCATGACATTACTTTTGCCAGCATCGTGTTCCTCTCGTCGAGACGCGTTGAATGAACTATAATTTGACCTTGAAAGGTCAACTTAAAAATTTGACCTCAGGTCAAGGTCATGACCTGACCAGAAAAGGTCATGTTGCATATCAGTCGATCCGCAACGTCGAGCCGAACACATCTAAGGCATTTTCATCGCTTTAGCACGCATCTATCAGAAGTTATTAGCGAAAAACTGTTAGATTCTGTTCGTGACCTGGCTGAGATGACCTCGGGGACATAAAGAGGGGTCACAGTTGGGGCATTCCACGATAGATCGTACCACTTTTTTCCAATTTGACACCCTCATCTCTCGGATTTTGACGAGAATTGGTCTTAGGGGTAATCAGAGGCGCTGAATCCACCTGTAACAATTTCAGGCTTATCAGATAATTATTTTTTGAGTTATGGTGTATAACATTTTTTGGATCTTGCTTTGCAGCGCTAAGTTTGGCGGGCTGTAACACTAAGACGGATTATTCAAATGCCAAATGCTATATAGCATTGAACTTGCAATGAAACAGAGATTAATATGTATTTTTGAAATTTTGAAAAATGCGCTTTTTTTGATAATTGACATATCGAGTTTTCTTTCATTTGTATTTTTGAAACTTTGGGACCAAATTTTTTGGAATTTTTATTTCTTTTAAAAGATATTTGGCTCATTTTTAAGAAGTATGCAAAAAATTAGGAAGGTGTTCTTTCTATAAATGTATTTATTTTGCGCCACGATAACGGTCTCGAATAGTGATTTCGGGAGGGGAGCTTACAAATGGCTTGGTAAAGCTGCTAGTGACATCACGGGTTACCGATATTTCAATTGAAGTCTGAATCATCTAAAAAAAAAATGAAAAGAGGGTTCATCCAACCCTCTTTCCTGTAAGCGCGAGAGTGAAAAAAGCTGCTTGGTTCTGACATTGTTTTGGACGCCAATGACCATAGCTGTCCGATATGAAAGTTACAGGACGCATACATGGTGTCCTCCAGACGTCTCACAACTTGTACATATATCTGGGAATTTTCGAAGGTCACATGAGTCACGAGACATCACTGTTATAAGTCAATGGGGAAATATAAAATATGTTATTTTGGCGCCGAGAATGATATAAAACTATCTCACGTACATGGTATCGTGATTTCATGCACTCCTTGCAAAGTCCAATGCTTAACTTTTGCATTATTAGCCTTGCGTGACGTCATTTATGACGTCACTAGGGTCATACGAGTTTTTCGTCAATAACTCCCGATCACATTGAGCTAGAGAGTCGGGAAAGCCACCAATGGACTCGAGAAGACCTTCCGAATCGAATGATATGCCATATGATACCCTTCGCCCAGCTTCGTGACCTGAGGGGCTCTGACCTGACCTTGACCCGAGGTCAACTACTTAAGTTGACCTCACCCTAACAAAAAGTATACCATTCGACGCACCTGAGCTAGACGAACACAATGATAACAAAATCGCGGCTCTGCGGCCATTTTTTTGCGAAGTTATTTACTAAAAACCGAACCCGTAACTTCAGTCACTTGACCTGACCAAGACGCTACCAGTTAACCTGAGACCTTAAAATTGGGTTGGGTACCAATCGCTGCGACTTGTAACGGCACACACGCTCGTTTTTTCCGCGAGGCTCTACCTCTATTAGAAGCGAAACGGCGTTCTGGGGTCGTATCAACCCCTCCGAAACCCATTTTGTTTGCGGGAAAATGAGGAACTTATAGAAAGAACACCTTTCTAATTTTTTGCATGTCGATTTGCAATGAGATGACGTTTATTTTGAAAAAATTAAAATGTGAAAAATTTTGGTCCCAAAAGTCATTAGAGGCAAATGAAAAAAGTTTAAGGTTTTTGTTCAACAATCAAAATTTTTCTTTAGAATTTTTAAAAAGTAATATCAATTTTTGGTTCATCGCAAGCTTAGTGTTGTTTCCCGTTTGTTGGTTGCATAACCCGTTATTGAGTTATAGGCCATCAAACTCACCGTTACAAACCGAAGTTAAAAAAATATAATGCAATATAACTCAAAAAGTTTTGACCTGAGAAGTCTGATATTTTGCCAGGCGTCTTTGGGGCCTATGATTACCCCTTGGGCCGATTTTCATTAAAATCTGAGAGATGAGGGTGACGGGTCTGGTACGATCTATCGTGGAATGCCCCAGTTGCCATTTTCCGGTTCATTGTGTCAATTTTACCTGCCTGTTTGAGAGTGTCTAGAATAGCGTTCATGCAAAACAGACGCTTTTCAATTTTATCCCATTGACAATTGAGAGGCCCCAAAATTGACCTGATCTTAGGTCACCGATATCGAAATTCCGAGATAAACATTTTATAGATAATGTTACCTTCATAAATCGCTGAAAGTTTCAAGGCAATCTTTCAATCGGTGTAGCTATTACGAGCATTCTTATTTTTCTTAGGTGAGGTCACTTGGCGTGACCTATGACCTGACCTTTGGCGACCTGGGTCTGACGTTTTTACAACATGTGCGGAAAAGATGCACGAACAGATGTGCCAAAAACGGCGGCGATCCGCGCCGCCGTTTTAGAGATATTTGCGAAAACCGCAGGGGGGGGGGGGGGGTTCAAACGGGTTCCGGACAAAATATCGAAATGCAAAATATCGAATCGCAAAATATCGAAATCGCAAAATATCGAATAGCATAATATCGAAGCTGCAAAATATCGAAAGATAAAATATCGAAAGACAAAGCATCGAAAAGACAGGATATCGAAAGACGAAATATCGAAAGGCAAGATATCGAAAAGGCAAAATATCGAAAGACAAAAAATCGAAAAGACAAAATATAGAATGCAGAATATCGAAAAGACAAAATATCGAAAGCAGAATATCGAATAGACAAATCATTGAAAGCAGAATATCGAAAAGACAAAATATCAAATGCTAAATATCGAAAAGACAAATTATTCGGTAAGGAGAATATCGAAAAGACAAAATATCGAAAGCAGAATATTGAAAAGAATCGCTGATGCACTGACATTTCCGACACTTCTTGCTTTGAAATAAAAAAAAACATCACAGGCTGTGTTGGGCTTGGTTGGGTTGGGCTGGGTTAGGCTAGATTAGGTTAGGTTAGGTTAGGTTGGGTTAGGTTTGATTAGGTTTGATTAGGTTCGATTATTATTTTAGATCCAATGTAACTGTCTCCTTCTACTGAAACGCCAATAACGGGAAGGGTTGAATCAACTAATGGTTCAGTTGTCCACTGGTTCAGTTTCCACCGGTTCAGCTGTTTACTGGTTAAATTGTCATCGGTTCAGCTGTGACTGGTTTAGTTGTCACTGGTTCAGCTGCCACTGGCTCAGTTGTCATGGAATCAAGTTTTAGTGCCTTGTCAATTATCCCACCCTGGTGCCGCCTATGCCTTCGTCTTTTTGATATTTCGCTTTATTGATATTTTAAATATGGTGATGAAATTGACCAATAACATGGCAGTGAGATGTATTTTTATATAACAAAATAAGGCCGAAAATATAGAATCATTATAGAATATAGAATTATATATAGAATTATTATTGATATTTTGTCTGTTCGATATTTTGCATTCAATACTTTGTCCGTTCGATATTAGGCTTTCGATATTTTGTCTTTCCGATATTCTGCTGTCGATATTTTGTCTATTCGATATTATGCATTTGATATTTTGCCTTTTTGATATTCTGTTTTCGATATTTTGTCTTTTCGATATTTTTTTTTCGATATTTTGCATTCGATATTTTGTCTTTTCGATATTTTGCTTTCGATATTTTGTCTTTTCGATATTTGGCGTTCGATATTTTGTCTTTTCGATATTTTGTGTTTGGATATTTTGCCACTTCGATATTTTGCAACTTCGATATTATGCGAGTCGATATTTTGCCATTTCGATATTTTGCGATTTCGATATTATGCGACTCGATATTTCGCGATTTCGATATTTTGCGGCTTCGATATTTTGCGACTTCGATATTTTGCTTTCGATAATTTGCGTTCGATATTTTGCGATTCGATATTTTGCGTTTCGATATTTTGTCATGGAATCTGTTCGAATACCTCCCCCCCGGCCCGGCGCGGGTTAAAATTGGGTATCATTGGCTTCCTCTCGTGACGGGCAACACGCTCGTTTTTTCTGCGATGCTCTAGCTCCATCAGGGGCCAAACGCGAGGGGGGTCGTATCAACTCCCCCCCCTTGTGCCGTCGAAGGACTCAAAATGGCCTGTGCCGGCGAGGGCTATCATACGTCAATTTAACACGTTCCCTGAACATTAAGCGAAATTCGTCGGATTTTTTTTTCTTCAGAAAAGGACGTTTCAGTGACGTTATGTCACGCCATTTCCGAGTAAAAAACGGCTTAAAGGAAGACTGCCACCTTCAAAGTTTTCTCAGATCGGCCTATGATTTATTGCCTGGACAAAACAAAATTTTAGAATTCACCTGACAAAGTATCATCACGTGAATCGCGAAAAAAATTGTCAATTATCATACAATTATCAATCGGTTAATGTCTAGCGACAATGTTTACACATCACTAGACTTCAAGGTCATAAGATTATTACATTTTATTTGAAAAAGTAAGGTATTTTATGATTTACTAATATATGATTTCATAAGAAATTGGCCATGTTTAATTTATTTTGCATTTAAGTTCGTAAAACATTTAAAAATCATGGCTCATTTGGAATGGGTCTGGCCCATGTTAAACCCCATTTCCCACACTTTTTTTGGAAAAAATGAACTACTGAATATATAAGTTTAACTTTTATTTTGACACTCCAAAATTCTTCTCTGATCTCGAAACAATCAAAGTTTTGACATATATTTACCAAAAGATAAGAAAATTCATGTTTCAAAGTTATCGATAAACAGTAGAGATGTCGGTTTTCTTGGACTAAAAAAATGGCATCAAACTGAACTTTGGTCTCCGATTTCTCGCAAACGGGTTGGAATTTCGGAAAACCGACTTCAGTCTGGGACATAGGTGGCTCAGCTCTAGTGAAAACCGTTTTGTGGAAAAAAGGTGGCAGTCTACCTTTAACTTCAAACGCCGCTAACATCTTCATTTTCAAATGAATCAAAACGTAACAAAAAAGGTTATATGTGATTCTACTTTGTCTATCAAATGGCTGTCTCGTTTTTTTTCTAAATTCTGGGTTTTGGCCATTTAAAAAAAATGACTTTTTTTGGAAAATAATTATAAATCCAAACTTTTGAGTCTATCGGAAAACGGAATTTATTTCAGAGATGTGGTCTATATGCACCTACTACATACAAATTTGCAGAAGAATCGGTTCAGAAATGTGGTAGGTATTCAATTTTCATGACGTCACGACACACAATTTCTTTTTATGAATGTTTTAAGTTCTAGACCTTGTACGGAAACAAAAATAGCACCATTCGATTCGCCGTGAAAAAACGGCATCAGATAGACACCTTTTTAGGTCTTAACAACCAACTTCAAAATTTGACCTCACTTGACCTGACCTTGACCTGGTCTCGACCTGAAATAAACCCAGATGTGGTCCATATCACTTATTGAGTGTGCCTATTGAATTCCATGAATAAAATGAGCCATAAAACATGTGTCGCACATGCCCTTTTCTATATTTTGTTTTTGGTGACCTGACATGACTTGACCTGACCTTGAACTTGACCTTTGAATGACATTGCATGCAACGAATATTGTCTTGGTAGTCTAAGAACACGTTTTGGGCAATCAGTCTCAGTCAGTTTTTCGGCAACTACGGTGCAAGGACGATACTGTAGAAACTTGCATTTTGTACCCTTGACCTGACCTTGACATGACCTCTGACCTACTTAAGCAAAAAAAATTGGGCTCTGAAGATCCACCTTGTTGAGAGCTTTCGATTGCCGTTTTCCCCGTCTTTCTACGACCATCGGTTCGGAAGTTAGACAGGGGGGACAGAATCTGCCCCCCTCCCCCCCCAACAGGGCGCGTATGGGTGAATAGCCCAGCGGGGCGCGGGTTAAATGAAGTCACACAAGGTCAACGATGCAAAAGTGAAGCCATCAAATCACGACTTAATGTGCTTGAGGTAGTTCTAGTTTTAGGGTGATCAATAAAACACATTTTAATTGGTTTGGTCAGTCTGTATGGAACACTGGAATCTTCATTACCTGATATTTTATGCTCTCGTTGGCGTCGATCGGTGCGGAGACCTCAACCCAGTCGATGTTGTCAGGAGAGGACTCGGCCGTGAGGTCGATGATTGTGGCAAATTCTAGTGTTTCTATTGCCAAGGCGGCGTACAGAGTGGCAGAGCCCATGTAGCTCGAGCGAAGCCAGTAGCGGAAGGATATGCTCGATCCCTTAGGAAAGCGGAAACTAGACAGAGTTTCCATACGAGCAGAGGCTGTGTTTCCCGATTTAGGCGAGGTCAGGTACATGACAATGTCACCGCTGGCTGGCGCCGGAAAATTGGGAATGATTTCCTTGATTTCTGTATAGCTGGTGGGCTCCCATTTTCCGTTGGAATCTTGACTGATTTGATGCCAAAAGGACCCGAAATCTCCACTCGGTTCGAAGTTGTCACAATAATCGCCAGCCCGAGCCTCAGCAAGGAGTAGAGCGAGCGCAACGAAAGCACTTAGCGCGCGCATGGCCGACGTCTCCGGCCTCCCCGGTCCCTGCCGCTCCTCCCCGGTCCCTGCCGCTCCTCCCTGGTCCCTGCCGCTCCTCCCCGTTTCTGCTGCTGCTGCAGCTGTTTGACACCAACTCCCGATATTCGCTGTTCCTCCGGCTATCCGCCCCTCCTGCTGTGCTGCGATAGTCACCTCGAACTACGCTGAGAACAAACGTACAGGCTCACGCTGTCAGTTCCCTGACAGTATCTATCGTATTCGTCAGCCTCCGCTGACAGCTGATACCACCTCGGACCTCTTCAGCTCCCTCTTTTACACGTTCTACAAGACGATGCCTCTGCCACAGCCACTGGAGACTGTTCAGCAATAGCTGACCCCCTGCTGCCGACACAGTGGAACTGGACAGCTAACGTCGGCACCGCGCCCTGCGCAACACTGGTCGGGCTGTGGGGCCTCATCTCATGACAGTTGACACCCCTGGCCCCTGCCCCAGTGGTCACCAATCTTATCGACCTGGATCAATCCATCATACTGCCGCCAATCCTCGCTGCTTCAGCGCTGACTTCCCAGAAATCGATCGGACAATCGCCGCAGCACTCTATCGATAGCGACCAACGTCCTCACGGAGGAAGCCTGTGTGAGGACGTTTGTTATTTGGATATTTTTTGCATTATTTCTGTCGATGATAATGACACATGGACATTTTATCAATAAACGTGCGCCGATCAAATGTGTCCCCGCCCACGTCCCTAAAAATGCCAAGCCTCGATGGATCTATGTTAACTGCGATTCTCAATTGTGCTACGAGTGTTACGAGTTCATGAAAATTTTCGGTCGTGTCATTCTTCAAGTGTGTGCTATTGTTTAGCTTACTGAATGTGTAGCAATGCTAATCGGGCATTGTGATGACTGTTGTAAGTAAGTAGGTATATTCTTAATTACTTTGAGGATACATGTTGACGTCAACGACAGGTCTGTCCCTTCCCCAGAGTGACTCGCGTTCCTGTGGCGTGCCGCAGTCCCACTCACTCGGTGGGGCGCCTTCACGACGGGCCAGTGTTGCCCAGACGCATGTTGCCATCGTGACGTAACGCCCGTCGCATGGTTGTAACAATGCTGCACGGCGGGAGGCGCGCGCGGCCCGTGAAACCGCCGCCCGCGGATGCTGCGCCGCTGCGATGGAGGAACACTGGCGGTCGGCCGCGAGACGACGGGTGGGATGACAAAACTACCAGTGGAGCAATACGAGACAGGTTTACAGAAGACAGGTACCTCTCGATGATTGCCTGTCATGAACATCAGGCATTGGCGGTTTGCTGATTTTGGCGAGCAGCTTTGAAACATCTTGCTATAGATAGCGCTTATAGAACGTTGCTTTTGCTGGAATAAAAAAAGACGGAAAAAGTCATAACGCAGAGAAACAGGTGAATCAGAAGACAGGCCTTAGCATTGCCGTTTGGCCTCACCGAAAACGTTTGCTTGATTTAGTTTACGTTTATTGCCTACGCTGGATATACCTAAATGTATTGGAGAATGTATTGGAAAATACCAAATGCTGAACACTGATTAACACGCGCACCGACGGGGGGGGGGGGGGCGGATATCCGCCTCCCTGAGGTTTTTCGCGAATAGCGGGAAAACCGCGGCGCGTAGCGCCGCGAAATTTGGTACGACTATTCTCTCATCAATTTCACACATGGTGTGCAAGCTTGAACTTCCTAACTTTTAAGGTCAGGTCACCAGGTCACATTGAATGATCCAACCTCAAGTCACTTTTTTGCAACTTTGTCACCGTGCCAGAGCTACAGTAGATGTCGGAGGCCTTTGAAAGTCGCAGGATGCTATTAGGTCATTAGTAGCTATGATTTATATCACTCGGAATTTTGATATCGGTGACCTAAGGTCAGGTCAATTTCTCGACCTCCCCATTATAAGTCAATGGGGGGAAAATCAACTCCCTGTTTTGACCACTAAAACGGGTCGGAATGGCCCCATATACCATACATGACTTCATATACGAGCAACCTTCACTACCTTGAGGTCTGTTTTGCTATTGGGCAGCTGTAAGGTCATGTGACGTCATCAAAGGTCGCCAAAGGGTTTTTGCCAATAACTCCGCACAGGAACAAGATACAGCCGCGCAGATGGTCTCATTGTGTTCAGCTCGTCAAGACGCTTCGAATGATATACATGATGACCTCGAGGTCACGTGACCTGAGGCCGACCTTTGACCTTGACCTTTCGAGGTCAACATATATGTCATTCGATGCGGATTGACGAGAGGATCACGATGATGCCCTTAGATTGTTTCTATCTTGACTAGTTCGAAAGTTATTCGAGAAAAACTCTCCCCATATTCAGCGCCGCCATTTTGACTTTTTTGACCCCTGTGACGTCATCTTTGACCTGACCTGAAAATGACCTTTGTAAAAACTGTAGACCTTGTCCGTGCGTATCCCATGCCGTTTGCCGCTTGTCGCTATCTTACTTTGTTCTCGAGATCTCAGGGGGGCGGTCATCCACCCCCCCCCCCGTCGGTACGAAGTTGGCGCAGACCCCCGTCGGTGCGCTTGTTAATAATTAGGTACTGTTAATAGCAGCCCATGCTGTAGCAACAAATTATGAAATATTTTTAAATAACACTCCCGTAAGGGAATTTCTTGCATCCCCCAGACTCGTTTTCTGGGAAACCAGCCGGCAAGCAATAAGCGACGTCATTAAAATATGTTTTATCAAGACGTTATTGATTTTACTGTATCGTGATTCTCTCGTCAAGATGCATCAAGTGAAGCGTAACATGATCATAAGAGGTCAAACAGAGATTAAGACCTTAGCTGGTCTTGATCTGACCGGAAATGGTTTATGCTTCATGTCAGTCGATCTGCGTTCTAAAGTGGCTTTATCGTTTCATCGTTGACCTTCTTTTGGTGGCCTTTTCCATGCTCTCACTTGACCCCGCAATGTGTTGCTCGTTCCTAAGCGCTGCAATGAATGCACGACTTGAGGACAGTTCCATATAAAATAGTAGAAATAATTTTGTTGTAAGTTCAAAGAAGTTCATCAATGCAATCAAATGTTCAATGATCTTGACTCGGCCTTCAAGTAACATTCAAACTCAATGTACCGCAATTCATAAAACAGCATCTTCACATAAAGCACGGTTTGAATCGCATGTTTGGAAACGCACAGATAATTGGCGCTGAGATGCTTACTTCGGATGACCTTTCTGGCCTAAGAATCCGACCTTCCAATGACGGTTACATTCTTTTTTTATAAAAGGAAAAGTGTAGGTATAATGTATATACTAACTATATTTAGACAAAGTTAAGGCTTTGACCTCGTCGTTCGAACTTGTAATGTAATACGCTTTGCTGAAAGGGCGGAATTTCAATCAATGTCTCAATATCAATCGTACAGCTTCGCGCGTCTTTGAGTAGTATAGTAGTTACCTAATGAGTGACTGATAGCGTAGCACCTATTACCTATACATAATTGATAATGGACTGTAGTGTACACGACACATTATGCGTGGACGAAGGTTTGATCCAGCCCAGCAGCACATGCAAAGTCAGACGAGTCTTTTCAACGAAAACATTTCCTCGAACTACTGGTACCTGCATGTAATGCCCACTTGAGAAACAGATAAATATTGCTATCGACATTGCCACTGATCCTTCGTGACAACTGTTCTGAAGTGGCCCCACTCTTCGATCAAGGATATACAATTTCACTGTTCACGGTGGTATGTCATGTAACAAACACTGTTTAGCATTCCTTCCAACGTCTTGTAAATGGAATGTCTCAGCGCTGTGGAAAATGTACAGAATACTGAATAACTCCGACTGCATATGACAGTCTTGAGCTTCGTGCAGTCTTCACGAAGCTCCCGGTCGTCGGATCCAATTTCTTGTCAGTTTTCAGACCGACTGCTCTGCTGAGTGTTGGGCGGCTCGCTCTGCCATCGTCATCAGTGACGTCAGGCGTCGGGGCTCTGCCATCAACAGTTGACTAAAACGAGTCTCAGGTGTACCCGATGGGCTCAAACGTCTTGTTTATACTTCTGTTTACACCTCACGTTGCGGTCATCTAGGTACCATACATCTTACTCTGACCGGGGGCTAAGTTCGAGAGGAACCAGGAAGTCGGCGGCCAGCGGCACGACACCATCCTTTCCCTCTCGATGGGCCACGTGCAGAGTAGTCGCAGCGCGCGCGACGTACGCTACAGTGTGGACTTTCTCTGGGAGTGTTCGTTAAAAACGGTGCGCGCCGGCCGAGCCCGCTGCTGTTTAGTGCCGGCGCGGCTGGGGGACAGGTGCACAGTGACGACTGTCGGGCAGCGACGAGCGAGCAGCGACGGCAGCGACGCGACGGAACGCGGGACAGGCAGAGGGTAGGAGGGAGACAGAGGAGCAGCGAACTTTGAGCACAGGTGAGTAAAATTGCAAGCACGTTTTTTTAGCAATAGTGGCTCGAATAAGTCTCGTGTGTGTGGAGGGGGGGGGGGGGCAATGTGTGTGAGGAGGTGGAGGGGGTATGGGAGCTCTGTGGAGACCTGGACAATTGGATTATCATTATGCATGTGCAGTTCGCGCCCTGCTGGGATAGAATCGCCTTTGCGCCTTTGTCCATACCTAATATTCGCCTCGCCGGGCGGTTATTTTTAAATATACACGTCCCGGCGCTGAAGGATGATTCCTATATTCCTCTCGCCTTTTCGCTCTTAATTAGGCTAGAACTTCGGGAAAAAAACAAAGTTGTGCACTGTGCAGAGTTTCTAGTCATAGAGAATAATACCCAAGTTTTAGGTCGCAGGCCAACTGGTGAACGTCAGAGAATAGACTCAGGATAATGACAATAAGAATAACAATAATGATAGTAAGAATAATAATAATAAATAATATTAATGATAATAACAATATTGATAATATTAATAATAACAATAATCATAAGAATGATAAAAATGATTA